CATATTGCAATGTATATTTGTACAGTGTTTATATTTGGAGGTCATTATCCTCATTTGTTACACAGTTGTTTATTGTCTTAGTCTTTAAGTTAGATAGATATTGAGAATTATATAGATAAATAGTCATCTAAGTTTGTCATTTATAATTAGACTAATCAGGTTCTCTAGATATATAGAGATTATACTCAGTATAGATAGATAATCTTCGACCTCTTCAGAGCTGTAGAAAATGGCCTTTAATCTAACTCAGAGTTTTGTGATAGTGAGACACAGTTGCTCCTGGCAACACCGCTCTATTCCCGAGAGAATGTTGAGCACCAAAGACACTCCACCTGGAGCCTTTCTATTTGGCAGAACTGGCCTTTGGGCAAAGAAATGCCCATACCTCAACCACTGACAGAGATACAGAGCGTGCATCAATGGATAAAACAGGACTGTCATATCCTGCCAAGACAGGGTAAGATAGTTTTGAAAAGTTCCTTGCCTTTAATAATGGTATGTCAGTTATGTTAGGCCTTAGCCAAAATTGGTTGACTCAGCATTGCAAACGAGACTTTGGGTGATTGCCCAGGTAGTCAGTTGTCTCTGCCAATTGTTGCACATTTTGGATATATCTCGTTTGTTGAGTAGTGTTTATTCCCTTCTCAGATCTTTGACTGAGTTGAAGATTATATAATCGTAGTTACTCTCTACATTATTTGGACTCCTTGAGATAGAATGTTTAGCAAAACTTTTGTTCTCAATATTGTTTGTTATATTTATTATTTGTTATTATTGTATATAGTTGTATTTGGTTTAGTTCTGTCTTATTTAGACAAAAATAGGGGATGTAGCGATAAGTCCCGCCCCTTAGGGGGCGTGTTTTCCTCGGGCTAATGTTTGCCTATAAATTTGGCAAGCATGCTCCCAGCCGGCTCTTCTTCTGCTTTTCTGGTCTCCGCAGGAAAGGTGGTTCTGTAAGTCTATTTAGACATTAAAGCTGTATATATATTTTTACAATCTGTCTGCATTTGTTTACGCCGTTACAAACACATCCCCAGAGTCATTGGCTTTGAAGATAGAAGTGGCCAAGAGCCAAGGGACATGAGTGGTCAATAGAGGCTGGTATGACCCTCAGTTGTTATTGTGGAAAAAAACAGAAACAGCCACAAGCAAAGTCATTAGACCAGCAGAAAGCACTCTTTTCTAGAAAGTTCTCTCATGTGTGTTTAGGAAGGTGATAATGTATAACCTGTGTATATATGTGTATAGCAGTGTGCACTAGTAGTCATTTTATTGCTATGTTCCTTTAGAAGAATAATATTAATATGTTTTCCCCTAGGCCTATGATCTATCTAATCTCAGGTTCTTGGTCACTTTAGCAGTTTCAGTTATAGGCTTCATCTCGTAGGATGGGAAAATAATCAGGATATGCTTGGTTACTCTCGTAACATCTGTGCCACTGTGTCTTCAAGGGACATTGCCATTATAGATCACAGAGTTTGTAGCCAGATATTATTGGTGGTGATCTTTCTGCTCTGGTAGTGTGTAGAGTACCTTTTAGTACCATGAATGCTAGTCAGTAGGATGAAGCTTCTAGTTTGCTACCAGCTTAACTTCTCTGTGTTTGATGACATAATTGTTGTCTTCAGCAATAGGGCCTTATCATTGGGTTTTGGAGAGCAACAACAGCCTTGGAAATAGTCTATGATGTTTGGAATTTTCAGCAGAGCTGCTTTGCCCAAAGACTCAACAAGATGTAACCCATTCCTAGCACTGGAGTTTTAACTCAGTGGTTAGATATCTAATTGGGGTATATCTCCCCTTACTCTTTGGTTTCTCCATTTAAATTCCTTTCACACACACACACACACACACACACACACACACACACACACACACAAATTTTATGATGTATTTAGATTAATAAGTTTTCATATGGTTTCTCAAATGGTCTTTAGTGTTAATTGTCCCCTTCCATACCCATCTTTTACCCTTCTCTTCCACCTCTCTCCTTATTTACTCCTTCTAGTCTAGTTTCCCCTTTGTCTCTTCACAGCTCTATATTCTATTTCCTCTTTCTTGGGAGGTCCTCCCCTACTCCCTGGTCCCTTACTAGGTACCTAACCTCTGTGATTATTCAGACTGTAGCACATATTTTGAAAACTTAAAAGCTAACATCCACATATATGAGAAAACATATAATATTAATCTTTTTGGTATTAAGTTGACTTGGGATTTTTTCCCCTAGCTCCATTCGTTTACCTGAAAATTCCACAAAACCATTTGTAATAATATTTTGAGTAATATTCTATTGTGTAAATGTGCCACATTATCAGTGGGTGGACTTCTAGGCTGTTTCTAGTCTCTGGCTATTATGAGTAGAGCAGCAATCAATATGAAGGAACAAGAATTTCTGAAGTAGAAAGTGGAGTCCTTTGGGTATATGCTCAAGACGCGTACAGCTGGATCTTGAGGCATATCTACTCTCAACTTTCTGAGGGATCTCCACACTGATGACCACAGTGGCTGTAGGAGTTTGTACTCCCACCAACCATGAATAAGTGTCCTCCTTTCCCTGAAGATTCACCAGTATGTGCTGTCATTTGTTTTATTGATCTTGGTCATTCTGCCTGAGTAAGGTGAAATCTCAAAGTAGGTTTGTTTTGCATTTATTTCCTTGATGGCTAAGGATTATGAACCAGTTTTGAAGTGTATCTCAGACATTTGCGTTTCATCTTTGGATAAGTCTTTGTTTAGTCCTGTACTCCATTTTAAAATTGATTATTTGTGTTTTGATGTCCAGTTTTTTTTTAAGTTCTTTTTATATTCCATATAAAAATCCTCCTTCAGATGTGTAATTGGGAAAGAACATTTCCCATTTTGTAAGCTGCTACTTCTTCTGAATAATGGTATTGTTAGCTATAACAGAGCTCCACAGCTCCATGAGCTCCCATCTATTAATTGTTGTTCTAAGTGCCTGTGCTCTTGATGTCCTGCTTAGAAAGTGCTTCGCTGGGCCAATACATTCAAGGCTATTCCCCCTTTGTCTTCTATTACATCCGGATTATAAATTTTATTCCTGTGACTCAGCTTGTAGAAGGAGAGAAATGATTCTTACAAGTTGTCCTGACTTCTTCTACACAAGTGCTGTGTGGGTTGAACATACACACACACTTGCACACACACATACACACACACACACACACCCCACATTCACACACACAATAAATACAGAAAATGCAATTTTTTTCAAAAAGGAAAAGGTCAAGTACAAACTCTTTCGTCTCAGTATGGGTCTATGTGGGGTTTCATTATGTTTTTCTGAATGTTCTGGTTCTCTCCTATATGTTTGAAACAGATAAACTGACCTAAAAACACAGAGAAATAGATTTTTTTATTGTTAGTATTAGTCTCAGTATTCATCATCAGTCTCTAACTGGGTTAAATATTGAAGCCAATGACTATATAGTAGCATATTAGGTTGTGTTGGACATTGAAAACAGTGTTTCTAAGCATAGAAGTCTTAGGTGAGGCTGTTAGTGAGGGTGGTATATATAATCAGAGCAGGTATTTTCTTCCAGATAGAATTGTTAATGTATATATGTTATATATTTCTACCTGTAATCTGAAATCTTACAAATCTTTTCCTTTTAGGTCATCACGTTGGTTACAAAGTATTATTGCTTGGTTCAGTTATGCTAGTTCCAAGTTTTAAAAAATTGATTCTGGAGAGATGGGTTAGCCCTTTAAGGCGAGGCTAGCCCTTAAAGGCTAGGCTTACAGCCCAAGCCACAAAATCTCATTCTGATATCCCCCCATATGTTCAGGTTGTAGTCATAGTTGAAGTCATTTCATTCACTGTAAAATGACCGATTACTACAGGTATCTATAATTGACATATATGTAATAGTTGCCAAATTCAAATGTCTCCTCCACTCTTTTCATGCTATTCCTGAATCTTCAGGGAGTGATTAGTCACTATATAAATTGAGGAGGGTTAGGTGAATTTTTCAGTGTAAAGATACACAAAAATCACGGCAATTTGTTCAAGTGTGATGGAGACGGGAACTGTGATGTAAGCTTGGTTGTCCTCGAGGCGCTTTAAACAAGCAAAAGCGTTAAACTGTCTGTAAAGAAACTGCGTTTTATAAGTTTTATTATTAAATCTGCTTCTGCTTCACTGACTAATAAAATGGAAAATGTGTACTTTTATAGGTTTATAAAAAGGCAAACTATAGTTTCATGAAAAATATCTTGTGCCGATTGAATACAGGTGGCTACTTGTTTAGACTTTGAAGACGTAAAAGCTTAGTATAGATGTATGAAAAAGGTAATACGGCCCAATGAAAAAATCTTCCGTTTCTGCTCATCAATCCTTTGGGTATTCCATGTCAAATAAACGCTACAACAATTTATAGAAAAAGTACACAGTGCAAGTGCCAACGCTAACACTCCTTAGGACTGGATACCTGCCAGGGTTTTCACACCAATATTTAATGTGAACCCACATGTCTTTCCCATTGGAAGTGTGAGAAGGAGCTTGCTTTCCTATATTTGGCAACATGCTTACGTGAAGTGTAAAGTCCAATGCCCGTGATGTTCTCTTTATTTCAGCTATGATAAATTGTGTCCATTTGTTTGAGTGTATGTGGCAGCTTTAGTGTTCCAACTATAAATTTTGGTTAACTTCTATTGACATGCTGTATTAAACTTAAGAAAAACAAATTACACTTCACCCGTTTTAATTGACTAAATGTGTCAAAAACACAGTAAGTTTAACATGAAAGGTCAGATCCTCCGTCTACACTGTAATGGGTGTCATGGCAAGGATCCAACTTTCCTTGTACGTTTCATTTTTCACGAAGTTTTAGGACAAGGCATGAGTTGAACATTCACTTCCCCTTCTCGTTTGTACTAAAAAGTTTATCATAGGCTGCGTTCCTACCAAGAACACTTTTCTCCTGTGCTATTTAAAGCTCCTTTGACGCTGACGTGCGTGCCCGGAGAATACTGATGCTCTCCCGTAAACAAGACTTGGGAATGGGCTCTGGCATGCCGAGGGATGAAATGCTGATGGGTAAGCACACCCATACATCACGGCAGCACGCCTCGAAAAAGACCTGGTTTACACATCCAGTCCCTTCTTCTGTGACTGGGCAGACAACCACGTGGTGAGGAACTGGACTAGACTTGGCTTCCCTTGAGATCAGACCAGTTTTAACTCTTGAGTGCCACGTTAACTGTTTATATGAATCTTTATTTTTTTTTAGCTGTTTAGTTGCTCTAAGTCCAGTGATTAAATTGTATCAATTAAGCTCTTTCTTACCTGCTCTCTCTCTCTCTCTCTCTCTCTCTCTCTCTCTCTTTGTTTTTCTGTTTGATTCTATCTCCCACTGTCCTGTTTTTGACCTCCTTTCTCACCATGAGAATCTTTTCAAGAGCTTGGACCTAAGTTTTCCGTGTGGATTTGTGTCTGGGGGAACTGAAAAAGGTAACAGGTATTATGTTTTAAATGGGAGAAATCAGGGGCTGTAAATCTAAAAGCCTATTTAATTTTCACCACTGCCTGTAAGAACCTTATTCTTCCATGCATGCTTTGCTCATCTGAAGGGCTGTCAATAACTATCCAGCTGACTTAAGGGAGGGAAAGATGATAGAAAGTCCTTATTATCCAAGAGACCCAGAGACTGCTTCATGGGCCCTGTCCAGGGAGGCTGGATTTTCCCTCAAGGAGGGATGAGACTATCCCCACTCCCACTCCCACTCCCTAGGGAGCACTCATGTCATGAAGAGCCTCAGTGTGAGGCTGCCTCTAAATTATGGCTTGGTAAATTTTCTGTGAAGGGTCAGATAATAAACGTTTAGATCTTCAGGTCCAGATGGTCCCTGTCACGGCTACTCAGCTCTGTTGTCATCGACAGTGTTGTCATTGACAGTATATCAACGAAAGGGCGTGGCTGCACGCCAATAAATGTTTATGAACGATGAAACTTGAATATCATATAAACTTCATGTACTGTGATATAGTCCTTTTTTGAGCCTTTCCAACCATGAAAAATATAAATATCATTCTTAGCTGGGCACTGCAAGACAAGAGTTGGCAGAGGGCAATTGACCCAGAGGTGCCATTTGCTTACCTTATTCTACGCTAATATTCATTCCTCAAAGTCTCAGGAAACTTAGAGAAAGGAAGCTTTCATTTAAAAGGATATTTGAGTTTTCTTTTACACTCAGTGTCCTCTTACCTACAAAAATACTTTCTCTTCATTTCTCTCGTGTTTTGGTCAGATCATAAATATGTCAGCATTTGGAATAGAATCTCAGAGGAATTTGCAGTAATAAACACCATGTCTCTCTTGCTTATATTTGCTTGGCATTTGGTTCTCATGCGTGTCCACTCACGGTTGTCTGCTGCAGGTCTGGGAGATCCTGCTTTGGGTTGATTCTGGCCTCTGGAGTGCTCCTGGCCTGCTCGGTAGTGCATGCTGGAAGGGCTGTGGCATTAAGGCCCCTCCAGTGTAGTCCTTAGTCAGTGATAGATGGCGCTGGAGGGTGACGATCCCTTGATTTGTTTTCTTTGAGATGTAGTCTCCTTGAGTTCCCTCAAGGGATTGGATCTCCAGGTGTCCGCAGTTAGAACCTACACTCAGCCAAACCCTACACTAACTTCTTCCTGCTACCTTGGTGCTTTTCCAGGGTCATCTTCCTAACCATCCCTTGCTTGGAAGGTTATGGGATGTCTCGCATTCCTATGCACAAAAGCAGTCAAAGGTATCTTCGTGACAGCTTGCTTTTCCCATCTCAAATGTAGAGTGGAGGTGGATTAAAGTGATGAGGCCCCTGAAAAAACCAAAAGCTATGGAGAAACCCTGTCTCGAAAATAAAAAAAAAAAATGGTTTTTCGAGACAGTGTTTCTCTGTGGTTTTGGATCCTGTCCTGGAACTAGCTCTTGTAGACCAGGCTGGTCTCGAACTCACAGAGATCCGCCTGCCTCTGCCTCCCAAGTGCTGGGATTAAAGGCGTGAGCAAACCACTGCCCGGCAAAACCAAAAGCTTTGAGGCTTTTTGCTTTGCAGTTAGTTCTCCGAAGATTTCCTTCTATCCCTTTAACTGGCGTGTCTGGTCACTTTTCTTCCAAGTTGTCTATGTTTTGTGGTACTGGAACAAGTATTCCAAAACATTTATTATTATTTATTATTATTATTTTTAGAGTACTTTTAGAGAGAAGTTAGAAGGTATCCTTGGTAACTCCCTCTCTCTACATCCTCCTTTTATTAGGAGAATGTATGCATTTGCTTTTTGAATATTTTTTCTATAGGGCTCTGCTTTCTGCTTTGAAAAAGTATAAAGGCTTAGCTAGCTTACATTGTGTATCTACTTACAGAATAGAATAGCCTTGATTCAGGCTCTTTAGAGTAAAAAAAATCCTTTTTTTTTTCTTTTTAGAAATGAGATAGAAACTGTTTAAAAGGAAGAGAGAAAGATCAATAGCCTTGTCATAGAAGAAGAGGGGATACTGGCAGTGCTCAAAAGCATCTGAGGGTGGTGAACCCCAAAGTGATCAGGCAGAAAGCTGCTGCTGCCCCAGGCTAGCCACACTGAAAAGAAAACAAAGTCATATATTACCAAAAAGTCCTTAATAAAAGGGCTTAATACAATTTTAGATTGAATCATCAGGAACACATGCTTGAATAATGATCATTAAATTACTTCTTAATCTTGATGGATGTTTAATTTTCATGTAGAGCAGAAATGACTTAGGTGACCTAGCATAATTATCTGACAGGGTAAGGTGAGTGAGGGCCAATGAGATGGCTCAGTGGGTAGGGGTGCTTGCCTGCAAGACCAGTGCCTTGAGTTCAATCCTCAGGGCTCATGGTACAAGCAAAGAACCAACTCAGGAAAATTGTCTTCTGACCTCCACACATGCACCTTGGTACATGTGCACACACAAACACAATAATACATACATGTGAAAAGTAAATAAGAGGATGATGTGATAATGTGCAAGACCTATGATGGCCTAGAAAACACATTGCCATGGGCCATACTTACATGCTTAAACTGAAATGGACATATTCATAGAGCTTTAGAATGTGACTGAATTTATATTAATGTAGAAAAACCAATTTTGTTTATGAATTGATCAATATAATTCAGAACAGGAAAACATAGCTAAGGATAGTACCATATAGACAAAAAGGTATGTATTAGATGAATCCTATCATTTAACATTATTAAATCTACAACTATTGATAAATCAATGGATTTCTTAGTTCACTGTACTTGTGGGCCCTGGATTGGGGGCTAATGGTACTACAATGTTTAAGATGCATTCTCTGGCTTAAGATCTGTGTAATTCAGTGGCTTCATAACTAACACAAATATTGTACAAAAACTCTTTATATGTTTTACACACTGATAAATTCTGGACTCACACAGTAGTGTGGGAACACTGGACTATGATATCATGATTATCCCTGATTTATGTTGATTTCCCTCCTTTCTTCTTTGCTTCCTTTTTTCTACTACTTACTTATATTTTTGCATCATGAATAATGTGCTGGACACTGTGTGAAAGTATTGCTTATGTCCTATCTTGTCTTGAAAACCAATCAACTTGGATGGAGGCATCCACGAATAACAGTCATTGCTGGGGTCTCTTAATACCTGGTATTTCTGAGTTTCAAGACAACCATGGAAGCTGCACAATGGTTGTTAGTCATTGAGGGCAGCTTGCTGACCACATGCCACTGTATAGAGATAAGCTTACAGGACACACCACTGAGGCAGGACGTCTTCTATAGATCAAAATTCAGTCCAGTGGGTCTTAACTTTCCCCCTTCATTTGAATAAACCCGCAGATGAAGGATTTTGCACTGTGAATGGAAGTCCACCACGCTGGGATCCCTGCCCACCTCACTTCATCATTGCTTGGGATTCTCAGCTGCACGTCATCAACCATCACCACCTTTTGGCCTGCTGCGCTTGCTCCGTCTCACACTTCATCACTTCTTGCATTTTTTGTGAGTGCTCAGCTCTGTTACAGACTCTATCCACACATGCATTATTTCCAAATTAAAGAGAAATGAATCAAAGTTTATTCGCTGTTTGAATAGTTTTCTTTAAGTCGATCATAACAAGGTCTGTTCAGTTGTTTATGGTCAGAAAGGGAGGATTTCTGAAACGAGTTGTCTGATGAATGTCCTGCGGAGGTCTCAGTACTACAGGTTGTTTTATGTAGCCTTGGTGAACTTCAGCATGCTATTATGTTGAGTTCATTTCAAGGTACACAGTGGAAAAAACCCCATAATTTCTGATGATTATGATTTTAATAATTCTGTAAGTCATATTCATGACATATGACTCCTGTTGTTAATAAGACTAATTATTTAGTGTTGGTTCAATTGGATGTATACTACTAAAGAGTTGGAAGGATTCCTATATGAGATGCTTTTATTATTATTTAGAGCGTGTTTATTTCTTAAAGCATTATCTCACCTTCAACATATCAAATGGATGTGACCAGGATGGCTAGCTTTTAATTATGGCGTTTGGGGCTATCAGTGATATTAACCATGTGTCACGACTAATCAGGTAGGTATGTGTACTCATTTTAAAACTTTACAATTTTTTTTTTAAATTTTACTCTGATCTGTGGAATTTAAGACTTTGTTTATTTAGAGGAGGATGAGAAAGCCGGCCCTTGGGAGTACTCATAAACTTTACAGAGACAATGTTTGATTCCTTTAGTCCAAACAGTGTATTTCCGCTACTTTAATGACTGTCCGGAGTTATAAGTTGCTTGTGCTTTGAAGCATCTTAGCATTTGCTGGTTCATTTTAACTTCAGTACACAGGCCAAGATGCAAATTGATGTATCTTGACTGGATGTAGACCCTGGCTTTTTAAATTTAATGTCAGGAATCCCCCAAAAAAACAATATTAAAGTTGGCAGCCTAAGAGGATAAGGTGTTTGCTAGACTATCAAGTATCCACATAAATATTCTTCAGTTCATCTGGGGTGACTCAGTGACATTCAAGAGCCAGTGACCGGAAAGATCAAACTGGAAGAACTTCCTTTAAACCCTGACTTTGTGCAGACAGAACACGTTGCTCATGACTGGGTTCAGACTACAAAGCTGGGGTGAGTAGCACAATGAATTTGGAAGGCCGACATGGTTAATAAAGGCAGACTAATTAAGGGTCTAAGATGAACATCTAAGTGTAGTTTCATTCATGAAGCAGTTTTTCCTTCTTTTGGATTTTTGAGAGAGGGTTTTTTCTGCAGCCCTGGCTGCCCTGAAACTCACTTTAGAGACCAGGCTGTCCTCAAACTCAAAGATTTGCCTGCTTCTACATTCTGAGTGCTGGGATTAAAGGTGTGCGCCACCACTTCCTTGCTTCATGAAACAATTTTCTGAAGCCCTTCAACTTGTCATGTAGAGGCATTATGGACAGAAAGATAATTAAGGCTCCATCCCTGCTAAAGGAGAAGTTTACATGAAATAATCAAAATAGCTGTGTGTAAAACAAAGTTTACTGAGGACTAAAAGCATATCTACTTAGATGTGGTTGTCTGTGGCCCAGTGATTCTACAATGAATAAAACAATGATCTTGAAGAGGTTCAGTAATGTGTCTAAGTCACAGGGAGCCAATGGAGAACTTAGGCTTGACCCTTATTCTGATTCCGGTTCAATGTCATTAAGTTGGAAATACATAGGCCAGATTATATGTAATATCTTAGAGCAAGCCAAGTAGTTTTCATTTATTTATTTTTAATAAAAAATGACAGATACTGAAATTTTAAATTGTATACAGCATGGTATTTTAAAATACACATCTATCCAAATATTTACATGTAGCTAATAAACAAACACATGACATCATATTATTATCATTTTATAGTAAATCCATATAGTATTTGCTATCTTTGCAATTAAAATTTTTATTACATTCTATTTATTTTGAGTATATAAATATATGTATCTGTGTGCCATTGTGCATGTGTGGAGATCATAGAACAACTTGCTGGAGTTGGTTTTCTTCTCCTACCATGTGGGTTCCAGGGACTGAGCTCAAGTCATTAGGCTTGGTGGCAAGTGGTTTTACCCACTCACCCATCTTGCCAATGCTCTTTGTAATTTTTAAGAGTACAATGTGTCACGGTTAACTACGTTGACTTTGTTGTACAGCAGCCCTCTCTAAGTTTACTCCTATCTAGCCATATTTATGTATCCTCTGGTCAGTATTTTTCCACCTTCCAGTTTCCATACCAACCTAGCATATGCTCACCAGCCTTCATTGTGAGATTCATTGTTAAGATCTTCATATGAAGTGAGATCATTCAGGATTTGACTTTCTGTGCATGGCTTATTTTACTTAACATGTCTTCCAGATTCAATACAATGGTAAGCCTACTTTATTTATAAGATAATGGACTCTTACAGTGTGCATATTAACCATAGTTTTTTCATCTGTTCATTCACTATTGGGCAAATGAGGTTGGCTCTGTGTCTTGTACTGTGTAGAGCATGGGAGTACAGAAGTCTCTGGGAAATGCTGGTTTTATTTTCTCTGGAACACACCTAGAAATAGAATTGTTGGGTCAAGTTACAGTACTACTTTGGACTTTTTGAGGGAAGCATCCTCATTGTTTCCATGTTTTCACTAATTTACATTTCCACCAGCCATGTGCAAGGGTTTCTTTTGTTGCAACACATCCAAAGAATGGAGTTGTACAAGGAGAATTCTGAGTGCTTAATGAAAATACTCCAAGTAAACAAGATGAATATTTTGTGATCTCTGTTTCTTCAAAAGCACAAAAGTTATTCTTGGAATGTGCTTTAATACTGCTCTAAGTTGGATGGATTTAAGATACACTCAAGAGGATTGTGTCATAGAATCACCTGGGAGATGGGTTTCTGGGCATGGGACTCTCTTGATTACATGAATTACAGTTGTAAGAGCTGCCTACCCTAGGCAAGGGATCTTGGATTTTATATGAGTGAAGAAAACAAACTGAGCAATGCCATGCTTGCATTCATGTGTTTCTCTCTGCTTATTCACCAAAGATACAATAAGACAGGCTTCTTCAAGCTCCTCTTACTGTGATTTCTCTTCCATGGTGGACAATAAACTAGAACTCTTTCCTTCCTAAGGTGCTTTAGCTAGAGCACTTTTATTACAGCAGAAGAGAAGACTCTAAGACGGATTGAGGACAAGGACAAATCAGGGATTGCTTTCAAAATTCTAACTGAAGAATGAGTAGAAAACTTGTGTCTTTCCTTGCAGTGTAATGATAGAATATAAAGAAAGAGGAGATGTGATTAGCTTTGAAAGTTGTATTATAAACCATGTAAATTCATTATAAAATTAGATTGATATAAAAAGCACAATGTGAAAGCTGTAGAATTGAGAAAAAGATCCATTACTAATGTCTGGTGCATTTAACTTGCAGACATTTTTCTGTGGGGAAATATATAGATTAAAAAGATTCAGGATTTAACTTTGGATAAATAATTCCCTACTACAAGTTATATTAAGTTCTTAAAAGTTCCTTCTACTGTTAAGATTATAGAATAGCTCAAAAGGACTGTGGTTTTGAAATGATTTCTTAAGACAGCTACACAGTATCTCATGAGCTTAAGTACTGAATTTGAGAGGCCTTTGAGACCCATATAGATTTGATCTCTAGTCAGGACTATTTGTGATCATTTAATCTACAGAGATACCAGGACTAGAACCACTGATGCAACAAATATTGTTGCACAGAAAGACAAATGGGTTCCAAGATGGCAGGACAGAGTAGTTTAGTTGACTCTAAAGCTTAAGGATGGGTGAAGACTTTGGGGACCTCAAGTATTTAATGAGGGCAAGAAATAGAAAGTGACTACCCTTTTCACCCAAAACATTTGTTTAGGTTTGAAAGGAAAACAAAGAAAAAAATTAGAAAAAGTTGCAAACGTGTCAAATATCATAAAACATCAAGAATGACAATGTTGGGTAATCACCTGTTGGTTATTGCAAATTGGGAACAGCAATTTGGTCTCAGCATGATCAGTTGTAGATCAGTGGAGAGAAAATCAAATCATAGTATTCAGATATAGTGTGTGGAAAGATAAACTGGGACCCAAAGTACATTCTATAGAAACAAAGATGTGAAGACCAGAGAGTGCTAGCGCAAATTCTCAAAAGACACGCAAGGGTGACACTGGGGTTTTCTTCTTCATATGAGAAAAGCCTGAAAATATCATAGGTAGAGGGTAAGATCCAAGACAGAGGCAGAGTCTTAAAGAAGGGAGATAAAAGCTGATTGATAAAGGAAGGATCCTAAGTGGATGAGAAATGTGGAGTGTGGCATTTTGCATCCATTGTTATGGAAGATATGTAGGCATGCCAAGGCTCCTACAAAGACATACAAAGATCTCTAAGAGAGTTTTTCCTATGTGATGCACTTTCTGTGTTAAGAAGAGAGTTGTAGAATAATCTATGAATGAGAAAGATAGGGTTTGAAAAGTGAGTATGAAAACCAGTGTGGCTTTTTATCACAATCTTTCTCACAGCTATAGAAATGTGGTTGAGACAGTTCCTATCACATGTGATTTTTTTGATGGCTTAATATTCTCATGAGCTTTATACAAATGAAAAAAGTGAAGCTAAGAGCTTAAGTAAGTAGATCACACTGTTTGCAGGTGTTCAGCGTCTCATCCCTATTTGTCTATTTTTTAAAGACTTGTGATATGGTATTATTCCTGGGCCTTCTGGATAGTTGAAAACTGCCAAATACTCACAAACAGCACAGTTCATCTTTTTGCAGCAACTGAAGCCTCATTCTCAAGAATTGTTTTTGATAGTGTACTCCCGTTCAAGTTCTAGTTCTGCTGGCACTAGTGTCCTCACGTAGAAAATAAACATCAGAAGAGTCCCTGTGTCTTAGGGAGATGGAGATGTGAGGACCAGATAAGATAACTCAGGAAAAGCACACACTGTGAGGTGGAGACTAAGGACTCCCTTCGTGACAGTCTTGTTCTATATTGCCATCACAGTCACAGGCATAGCAAATATGAATTCTGTTCATTTGCAGGGACTT